CTCAGTTGGTGATGAAGGGGGCAATGTTCCCCAAGGCAGTCATTTCCTGCTTCTTTGCACCTTCTTAGCGATTTGCATTCATTACGAAAGGAGAATTTGCGAACCAGGAGAAATAGGGTATTTCAGTGCGACGTCACAGCTCTTAGAATTCAATTTCCACTGTGGGTTCTTTGCGAAAGTTGCTATAGCTATGCGGACAAAAACGAGAGGAGTCCCGCTGCGAAAATACGTAAATGACGTTGTATTGTGAGGTCTTAGTAATAATGACATGTAGTGAGTAGTAATTGGCAGAACGGGCACAAACCAAAAATGTTCTGATGAGGTATGTTGGCCGTAATGGAATGGCTTGGCGAATCGCCAACAGACTTCTCTTCAAGTAACTTTATACCTTTGATTTTTCGTCCCTCGGGATTCACCACTCACCTGGCTCTTGTGGTTGCGGCAGATGGACTTGTTGCAAGGGTTCGAAATAACGTGGAACCTCTTGGTAACGCATCGGTTGAGGGTAGCTGTATAGATGACGTTTCCTCGGGATAGAACGGAATGGTTCGTCCGCATGACGGCGACCTTCAAATTTCAAACTCAAAGTGATGATCCGTGATAAATAATAGAAGGATGTGTTCCAAAACGTACTGTGCACTTGACGTTTTTCGATTCGTCGACCGAATTTCTCACCAAGCTTCAACGCCTCCTTCCATATTACTTCATGTTCAGACTGCAAATCGATTTTGCTCCATTATATTATTCGACATTACTATTTTTATTCGATATTATTATTATTATTAAAGGACGGAAGTGCTGTAATGGCAAGTGGCGCTGCTTACTACGCGCGCGGTCAGCTGATCAAATCGTTTGTTGTGCGTCGTCCGGGCCAACCAAGTTCAAGTGTTCAGCATCAGGTCCTGATTGCGGCAATGCGGCGATAAAGGCGTTAAAATTAGCGTGTCCGAGTCATGGCACATTTCTATCATTCCATTTTGAAATGCTAGAATAGTAGCTCGGCGTTAAGATGGCTAGCTAAAAAGAGTTGCCGCGCGCGGCAACCAGTTTCGTCGCGTTCGGGATCTCTTGACCTACACCCAACGACTCATATCAATAAGATGAAAAGGTTTTGACGAGGGCTTCCCGGTGTAGCAATATTTTCATGAGTTAGTTCGAATTTCAGCACCAACTGTTTTTCTGGTAATCAAATTTGTTTGTCACTGTAACAATAACCTCTACTTTTTTTGGTGGCCACAACATTGTGAAGTTGGTCCAAGAGATAGAAATAGACTGAATGAAATGGAATGGGTGGTTTTGCTGCCAATCGTTCCACCTCGAAAGCATCGAAATGTATCCCTATTCCAACAATGCAACTGCATGGAACTTCTATGAAATATCAGAGAAACGTCTACACAATCATACATACTCCCTTTCAAAAAACGAGAAGAGCGTCGGGTGCAGACCATACACCACAAGTGACGACGGCCTCCACAAAATGTAATGTTTTCTGCCAATGAAATGATTAGCCTGTTGCAGTTGTATTCTATCAGTTGTCACTAATTA